TCTCATTAGCTTACAAGAACACTTAGTACCTCAGAGATTCCAAGTCTTTAGGAGCTATATTCCAGTGGTGGGGGTTGGGGGTATGGGTGGAGAAGACCAAATAGCATTTCTTATTGTGTTGACAGTCTTACGTATGTCTTTTAAAATGAATTACGTTTTAAAATTTCTATTTAAATGTCATTCTTTTCTTCAAAATCCTATATATATTCCACCATATTTATTCTAAAAACCTTGAAATTTTTGTTTTTAACATTTGGAGTATAAGAAGTTTGGAATTTTTGCATGCAGTATGAAGAAATGATACATATTTTACCTTTTAACATACAAAAAAGTTTATGGTTGTCCCACTGGAATATGCCACCTCTGTTACATATGAAGTYTCCATCACTCATAAGGGTGTGTACTTCTTGAATCTCTTTTATGTTTCACTTGTCTGTCTGTCTGTCTCCAAGGATGCAAACACCACACTGTTTTCCTTGCTCTAGCTTTCTAGTTTTGAAGTCTGTTAGAGCAAATTCCCCCACTTTCTTCTTCAAAATTGTGTTGACAACTTACCCCCCTATAATTTCTATTCAATTTTAGGAACAGTTTGTAAAAAAATTCTGGGGGAAATTTTCAGATTTTTGTGAGCAATATATAGAATTTATTAATTTTGGAAGAATTATCATCCTTAAAGGTATTGAGTATTCTCTCCAAGAACCTGATCTATCTTTAGATTTATTTAGGTCTTTAAAAACATGTTTTCAGTAACTATTTATGATTTTCTTAAGATATTCTATATATTTCAATAAATTTATTTTTTGTTACTTTTCAGGTTTATTGTTATTGTAAGTGTGTATTTTAAACTCATAATCTTTCAAATGTACCTTGCTGGCATATTCAAATGTCAGTGACATTAATATATTGACCTTATTTCCAGCAACCTCATTTGCTAGTCCTCATATGCAATGCATAGATTCCCTTTGAYATGCTGTGTAGATAATAGTCATAATATTGTAAATAAGAACATCTTTATTCTTCAGTTCCAACCTTTTGATTCTTTTTTTTTCTTATTGTGCTAATTATCCAGTAAAATGTTGAATAGGATTGGTAATTACGGAACACACTTGTTTCAAAACTTCTTTCACTAGATTTTACCACTCTCTRACTTTAGCCCAACTTCAAAATGAACTGTTTCCTTATATCCTACTAAGCAAAAATAGGTCTCCCAGCCCTTACTGACCCAGACTTCCCCACACAGTGATGAACTCATTCACCCAAACTCATTCAGCCACTTCCACTTAAGAAAATTGTCCAGCCATCCATAGGACTTTTATTTGGATGATTCACTATTCTCTCTGGTGTAATGTGTCTGAAGTGATTCAAAAACCTGCTCTTCTCTCTGTGTATCTATATTCTTCACATGCAGGGCCATTCATCCAAGGTCAACAGACAGAAACTTATATTCTTCCCCCAATCACCACTAATGATTGGTTTGGGCCCCCAGTATCTTCCACATTAATTATAGTTACAATTCCTTCATTAGTCTCCCACTTTTGGTCTCATTTCCCACCTACCATTTTTCTCACTGCTGCCAAGTTTATCTTTCTACAGTGCACTTMTGCCTCACCCAACTTAAAAATGCTTCATTGGCTCCTCATTGTCTATTGTATGAAGCCTTAGTTCTCCAGCTGGTCAGACAGGCCTTTTATTCACCTTAGCTAGATCTCTATCATACTAGTCTAGCAAAACTAAAGCACTTATAGTTAAGCTGTGCTGTTCCTTGGTGCTGTGATTTTTTTTTTTTTTTTTGCATGCTGATCTCTCTCTTCTTGGATTGCTTACAAAGTAAGACTCATTTTCAAACCCAGATCAGATGCTACTTCCTCTAGGAACTATTAATAAAGAGCTAAACAAATATTTATTGAGTGTTATTTAGTATGTCAGGTACTATACAAATGCAGGGCATATAAAAATACATAAGACACAGTCCAAGTCTGCTAGCATTAGTTAACTATTCTCATTTCTTGCCTTCCATTAGTCTTAAGTGCCTGGTGCATGATTTTAACTTACATGATTCTTCACTTTCTTGTGGGTCTAACAAATAATTTCCATTTTTGCTCAATACACTCAGAAATGAGTGAATATTACATTCTTTAAATACAGAGGCATATGCCCAGTACTCAGAAAACACACAGTATTCAGCAACATTCATGGATTAAGTTTCCACTAAGAAGTATAATAATAAATAATGAGATCACAGCACAGTACTGGTAGTCAGTCCCTGGCTCAGTCAAAATACAGAAGCATGATATAGACAGGGTGGTGATTAAGGGTACCTCAGCTAACAGACTGCCTAAGTTTGTATCTCAGCTCTGCTGCCAATAAACTTAGGAAATTTGGATAAGTTACTAAAACTTTGTGCCTAAGTTTCTTCTTTTTAAAATAAGGACAATGATACCTCACTGCCTAACAGTGTTGTTGAGAAGATTCATACCAAAAAATGGTTGTTTATTATTACTAATTTGTATATGAGAATAGTTATCTCTCTGATAGTGAGCTGATAGTGCTGGTCAAGCAATTTCTTTTTTTTTTTTACTTCTATGTCTAGCAATGAGACAACTGTCTGTTGTTCTGAGCCAAATAAATACTCTTACTTAATGTTGATTGAACTAATAGCAATGTTGGAAGAATAACTGGCTCAAGAGAGTTTAAGGCTTGGAATTGAGATCTCCTTTATGTAGAGCTGAATGATACAAGTGGAAAAACCTATATTAACATACACTGATAGAGTTGGCCAGCTATGAACACAGATTGAGACACACAGAGGTAAGGGTCAATGGTATGATAGCTAAGCTGGAATCAGACTGTCTCACCTAGAGTCAGTACTCCACCTCTGACTAGCTTTGTGATCTTGGGCAAATTACCTCTTTGTCATCTCCGTTTTCACATCTATAATAACAGCCCTTTCAGCATACAGTTCTATTGTGGGAATTTGATGAGCTAATGCATGCGAAGCTCTAAGCACACTGCATGGCACATGGTGCATAATAACTGTGAAGAACAAAGATGCACATAGTAGACAGAGAACAGATTGAAATAAAATTAACCTAAGTGTTCACCAAGAAAAGCCACAGAGGTATTCAACTGAATAATTCAACTGAGTAATTCCTAAGAGAAAAATAAGGCAATTCTAGTTCTTGATTAAAGTCATTTTGTTTGTTTCTACCTAATTTTCCAACTTATCTCAATTATGTTTGGTTTAGAACACCAGGATTTCACAAAATGTGTTCTATAGAATATCTGCCCTAAAATATCTGTAAGAAAAGGGTTTTGAGTGATGCTGCATGCCATATTCCCTTGGAGATTCAAACATTCAGTAACACTCCAAGGGTTTAGTAAGTCCTGACATTTTGATTCATTTAATTTAATCCAGCTTTTCTCAAATTGATTTGATCTTAAAACACTTTTTAAAGTAAACTCTTAAAAATTCCATGAAATTACCATTCCATGGAACAAACATGGAGAAATAATTGCTTGATGGGTATCAGAGTGGCATTTATATCAAAGCAGGGACTGAAGGGTATGGGAAGTAAGTGGGAGAAGGAGAAGGCTCAACATCACAGACACCCAAACATATACAATGTTCCTGGGTTTATGTGCAGAATCCCCCCCAAGGGGTTAAACCAGCCCCCGCCCCCCATTGCCCTCCTCCTGCTGCTGCTGTGCTGGGATCCTATCCTGGCAGATCTAAAGTCTCTTACACATACTTGACCATCTGCTTTTGGCCACACACTTCCTGAATTTACTTCCTATTTTCTGGGAGAAACTACAAGAAAAACATTTAAAGTGAAGAGGCCTATTGTGGGAACCAGAGGCCAGACCCAGGAGTAGGGGTGGGGGAGGAGGGGTGAGTTGAGACTTTCAATCAGATCCAGGACAAGCACGTCCCTCTGAATGGAGCGGAGATGAAAGACACCAGCAGCACCAGTAAAGAGGACCCTTCACAGCAGAGCAGGGCAGGAAATGTGCTTAGGAGAAGTAATACTGATTTCTAAAGTAGTGACCAGAGAGGAGCCTCCTGAAACTCTGTTTAACATATTTTTATAATTCTATTCTTAAAAAAAAAAAAAAGGTTATGGGAGTGGTTGTGTTTGTTACAAAGGGGGAGCAGAGTCAATGAGAAAGCACTGATAAGAAATAGGTATTTAAAATGCTTGCTCTCTACTTACATCAACCAGAGTTATCTGTGATTTTGCAAGTTAATGTTGTTGTTTGGTTGGTTCCCAAAGCAAGTGTGCCTTTCTCCCCTTTGCCCTTCCTATGGGTCCCTACTAGGAAGAGAGACTGAGATTCCATCCTAGGTGGCCTGCGGTAAAGAGACCTAGTTGTCTTTGTTAAGTTCAACAGTCAAAACCTTGACCTTGGGAGAGCAGCCAGAGCCAGGAAGGATGCGGGCGGGGGCGGGGCGGGGGCACATTAGTGATGCCTACCTATGGATGGTGGGAGAGGGCTGTTTTATTCAAGTTTCATTACATTTTTTTCTACTTTTTCTATAATGAGCTTCTGTTAATTTTACAATCGTGGAATATTGTTTATGTCTGTGGTTCACACCTCACTTTCTAAGATCTTTAGTTTCCAGAAAACTTGAATATACATCCCACATAAATTTCATTAGTGTTGGTGTCGCGGGGAGAAAGTTTTCTAAGCATAGAGGAGGGGACGGAAATATAACACAGGAAACACACCCTAGAAAGTTTTATCCACATAATTCTAGAAATCGACAGGGGAGAAATTTGCAAGATGTGAGATTGCCCATGAACGTCTGGAGGAAAATGGCAACGTTCTGCCAGGCGGGCGGGGCGAGTGGCAGGAGAAGTGCTTCGGTGGGAAGGACGGTCACCGGGCAGCCTGCGCCTCCGGAGGTGTGTGGGTGGGGGCGCCAGGTAGGGCAGGTGCCCGAGGTCCTCCGGGAGCCGGGGGCGGAGCAGGAAACCGCTGCCTGGCCAGGTGCAGGGCGGAGCCTCCGGGAGCGCCGCAGGTGCGGATGAGCGGGTGTCACCTGCCGGGTGACCAGAGCCTGCCCTCCCACCGAGCGGCGCCGGGTGAGGGGAAACCCGAGGGGATTCTTTGGAGATGAGCGTCCTGGGCGGCGGCTGATGAAGAAAGACACAGGAGTCCTGAGACCCCTGAGCTGAAAGGGGCCAGAAAGGGGTCAGCATGGGCTCAGAGCTGCCTCCGTCTTGGCTGCTACTCTTCACCTGGCTCCCAGCAGGTGAGCCGTGGAAAAATGGGACCCACTCTGGGCCCAGGGAGACAGGAAGCCATTGCTTGGCCTTGCAGAGCTGGCCGCCGGCAAGGCAGTGGAGGCCTGGGCTGCACTCTGGCGGAGCTCGGACTGGATCGAGTTTCTGCCTGTAGCAACCTGTTGTTTTCCTCTTTTATTAGCCCAGGTCCTTCGAAATCCGGAGCATTTGGACTTTCCCTCCAGATCTATTCTTGATCTTTAAAGCTGAAGCGATAGAAAGAAAAAAAAAAATCACCATTCCTAATTACTTTCCCCGTTCATCTGATACTTGCTTTTTGGTTATAGATATACTAGCGACCATATTGGCCCAGAAGTGCATTTCTTTCATTTCTGAGAAGTTATAGTGTATCATCAGCATATGAAGGAATGTTTGACAGAATCCTGAGTCTATTTTATAGACCCCAACATGTGCSTTTTTGCTAACAGTGTTCAGTGCCACTTTCCTACTTTGTAACCACTCACTTCCTTAACTTTACCCCTGCTTGTTAACTCTCCTTCAGGTGCCCAGCCACCTAAGGTCTCAGCTTCAGCCTCCACACTAACTCCCTCTCTAYTTTGGAAAGCATGATTTTGAGTGTCTGGGTATGGCTCTGGAAATAGAATTGAAGCATGCACCAGGTAGGAAAGGGTAGCTGGGTGACAGAATGTGCAGGCTTTTCTGGTCTTTTTCAAATTTAGGTGTAGGTGTGACTTTGCAAACAAGAATTATAAGTTCCCTTGGAAGTTCCACCCTGTTTTATGTCATTTTACCTTTTTCCCCTACCAGTAGCTACCCACTTCTCTTTAAGTTGTCAGTGGAAGTTTAGCTCAGAATTTGCTCACAGACCAATATGAGTATGGTATGTTTTTTGAGGGGAAAGAAAGACATAATATGGCCATGTAGGCAGAATTTCCTTTTTATAGGATTGATAGGACAGAAGCTGTGCTCAGGAATAACCAAATCTCACCCAGACAGGATTCTACAATAACTTAAGCTTAATGCTAAGAATAAAAGCAAGGGAGGATTGCGAGAGGGTAAGAAAAACAGAAAGTTAGTATTGCCAAGGCCCTCTGGCTTACAAGATTTTCTGGAGAATATAGTTCTTATAAATTGTCTGATACTCCCTAGACAAGATATTGGACACCCACAGTGCATAAGAAAATGGGCTAAACCTCACCTAAATTTAAGTACCCCAAATTCCACTAGAGCAGTCACCAGCTTAGACTGTGAATGCAAATTCAGAAAAATCCACAGTTCACAGTCTTTTCTCAGTGCTCTGCATGTTCATCTCAAACTCCACAAATCTGGGGTCTTCAGAAGTTATCTGGGCTCTCTTTTCAGAGAAATAGAGGTCTGCTCTCACCTTCCACTGGGAATCTCATTCTCACAGTTAGGATTTTAGAAACAGCAGTTACCTGGGTCAATAAAACAAGAAAAGAAGTCTTACAGATGAAAATCCCTGTAGGGTATTAACCCAGTCCTTAAATCATCAGCATAATGTTTTAAAAAGCTATCTAACTCTAATGAACAATATTGAACACTGAACATTTTTCAAATACAGTGAATATAACCAAAGAGTATATTCTCAGAGTAAGCAGCTTGCTAAATGGTCAGGGACTTAAAATCTCTGTGCACCTGCCACAAGGTATTAGTAGCTCAGACACTGAAGTAGTACAATTACACAGACTGCTTATTTGCCTGATGTGCCTTAAAAGGAAGCCTGTCTGCATGATATGTTTTAGAAAAAGAGAGTGCCAAAAGAAAGAAAGTCCTAAAATGAACATCTAAGTCCACTTTCATTTCATACATGAGAATTTAAGATTTCAACTTTAACTCCAACACTTTGAAGGGAAATAGCTATTTTAGCAGATATTTTCCCTGAAAAAAAATATATATATATGAATGTAAATAAAATTGCACTCATCTATTTAATGTGGTTTTCCATCAGTAATGTTTATGTGACTCTCTAGGCAATTTATGAAATTGTTCAAGGTTCCAGTAAATAGTGATGACAATAGTACATGAAAGGTTTTTGTGATGTGTAATTAAAATGAAATTTTAAGGCACTTTTTCAGTTYCTACACAAAGCAAGAATAATAAATATCAGCCTGGTGATAAAAGTAGACTCGATTTAGGACCAAGTAGGATTTTTTAAATATAATGTTAAAGAAATTAACTCCCCCTTCCCCTGTGGCTAAGAAACTGAACAGAGAGATGACTGTTTTTCAGCTTTTCATCACTGTTACAAAATAACTGAGATGATCAACTTAAAAAATAGGAAAGACTAAGCACAGTGGTGCATGCCTGCCTGTAATCCCAGTRGCTTGGGAGGCTGAGGCAGGAGGATTGCAAGTTCAAAGCCGGCCTCAGCCACTTAGTGAGATCCTAAAGCAAGTGAGACCCTGTCTCTAAATAAAATACAAAAAAAAGGCTGGGAATATGGCTCAGTAGTTAAGCACCACTGGGTTCAATCCCTGGTACCAAAAAAAAAAAAAAAAGAAAGTTTCATTTTGGTTCATAGATTTATAGGTTTCAGTCATGGTTGGCCCCATTGCTTTGGAGCCTGTGACGAGGCAACACACCATGGTAGGAATGCTTGGTGAAAGAAGCTGCTCACCACATGCAGTCAGGAGCAAATAGAGAAAGAGAAAGAGATCTGGGTCCCAATAACCCCTTCAGGGGCATGCCCCAAGTGACCTAAGACCTCCCACTAGGCCCTACCTCTTAAAAGTTCCATCACCTCCCAATGGCACCAAGCTGGGACAAAGCCTTTAATATCTAGGCCTTTGGTGACACTGCAGATCCAAATTATAGCAATGATTATCAGGTTAGAACTCAGAATCTACCTCATGTTAACTGCGACTTAGGTAAATTAATTAAACTCCCTTTATCTGGAAAACAGATAAATCTCTACTAAGTAGTCCCCTGCAAACCCAATAAGGCCACCTCTTATCAGGTGGATTAAGATCAAGCACAGCATCTATAGCATGGTCATCACTCAAGAAATATTAGGAATGAGTCCATTCCTTCTGTTCTCACCTCTTTCYTTACTTTTAAAGCAAACCTCCCCAAATGTCTCTTGAGATCAAACTGAAAATCAAGCTTCCTTTCTTTCTTTTCATATGTTTTTCACTATTCCCAGCTAAATACAGTTTACAACGGACATATATGCACATAGGCAAGGTTTATAAAAAAGAAACAAAAGGGTCACAAAAGTCTTGTTACCGTGTCAGATAAAATCATAATATCAAATATTTAAATTCATATAAATTAATCCTGACATTAAAACTATTAAACAGAAAAATCCGGTAAGTTCATTTCCAGTAAATATGTATTTTGGAAAATCCTATACTAGAGTGTGTTCATTGTGGTCCATCACCTGTTCTCTTCTGTTTTCAAAGAAGAGTCATCCCAGCTCTCTGATTAGCATTCAGATTCCCACAACTGCAAAGTATAGGCCACTAGTATAATGGTGTCTGGTTTAGGTACTCATTGGTTAGTGTGGCTTGGGGCCCTGATGGAGGTTCTGAGGTCAGGGAGTCTTGTGAAGTTACCACAGTCCTCATACTCTGAGCTAYGGAAAAATTAGCTGACAGAGGTGGGTGGGTTTTGTTTTAAATTTTTTTAATTCTTTGAATTTTTTTTCTTTAGAAATACATTTYTATCACTCAAATGATGCCTGGATACCTGCTCCTTAGTGCAAAATACTAAGATAAGGTGAAAGTACCTGTAGCTCTTTTGCATTATTTGCTAATATCTCTGGTTGCCTTCACCCAACCTCAAAGTTTATTCTTGGAATGAAAGTTTATTCCTGTCCCCTACCTCCAAATTCTAAAAGGGTGTGCGTCATTTGTGCTTTTGTGAAAACTTTTTAACATTGTAGAGTGGTGTTACCTTACAGAACCACCAGTTATCAACTTGTAATGTTTTGGGAAATCAGAAAAATGTATCCCTAAGGTATCTTTAGATGCCTTGGAAAGAGAATATCCAGACTAGTAATCTCCCCTGAATGGTGGGGAAGAGGAGTGGATTATTCCACAGACTTCATGAAATCTGATGTGATAGATAGCAGAGCTTCTCTGTGATAGACAAAGAGACTGCCCACTCAGCTTCTCCTTGCCCCCTTGGAGGCTCCTGAAGTACCTCCCCAGAATCCCAGTGCTCTGTGGACACAGGCAGAACTCTCATCCTCTGTCTTCCCCTCTCAGCCAGTTGTACAGATAGGGAAATCTTGTGTCTTGGACTGAGACAGGGGAATGTTTGAGAGCTGGGCGAGAGCTCTGGCACTCTCTAATCCTTTGCTCTTTGCCCTATCTCATACGGTGGAGCAGGTTTGTTTTGTTTGGTTGAATCCTGGTACACAGAAATAGAACCAAGTTTGTCTGACTAAATGCCAATTATTAMACCCCTGGCCCCACCCACAGTACAGTGGAGAGAGATGTTGGGTAATTAATGGATTGTCGACCTGGGTTTCTTTTAGCATAATAATTTGTTTCATTATTTGAAGTCCTAGGGAGAAAATAAAATTGCATGTTTTAAGAACTGGGAAGATTCTCACATCTTATCTTTCTGTAGTTCTTATTTCTAGATCTCCTGGTTTGCACATGTTAGAGGACACCAGTGTGATACTTTTCTTCATTTCCCATCTTCAATTAATCCCCCAATTCGGTTGCTCAGTCCCACTATCTGCTGCTGCTTTACTGTTGTAGGCGGCACTACTCTCAGTAGCCTCCGTTGAGCACTTTAACTCTGTCCTCCCCTCTAGGTCTGCTACCTCTCTATCCACTGCCAACTGTCCTCTACTCAGATGATAGGTTAACCTACCTGGATTAATTTTTCCCATCTTCACTTGAATCGTGAACCTCCCTATAGCTTATAAGCTTTTTGTTTGGAATTCAAGGCTCACTATCTTGGGCAGCSTTGTTCCCACTGATATGGGCATGGTTTAGTGTACCCCACGTCCGTCCCTCTAAAACACACAGTTCTT